TACCTTCCATCGCGCTATCTATTCTGATGTCATCAGTGCCAGTGTTCATACGTACCTGTGCCAGGTGGTCTGGCTGTGTTTCAGCGTCACAAGCCGAGCTCTTCAYCCAGAACGCCTACTTCRTTTTTCAAGTCCTCCAAGTATTCCTGGTCCAGACGCTTTCCAACAGTTTCGTTTTATCTCTTGTGACGCTCCTTCGGAATCCCAACGACGTCTTTGGCAGGCTTTCATCTTCGATCCCCACCGCTTCCAACTTTTACATTTCGTTTTTCATTGTTCAAGGTCTCACCATCGCCACCGGCGTAGTGACTCAGGTTTTCGAATTCGTCATGTTCAAACTGTCATCCAGATTTACCAACATAACTCCACGAATTATATACGACAAGGGGACGGCACTCAGTACTATTTCTTTCGGGAGCCTCATGCCTATTTACACCAACATGGCTGTYATTAGTGAGAAACGAATTAGATGTTACGGCTTACTTCAGCTAACTGTCTTTCAGGTATTATTTACTCTGTTATCGCCCCCTTTCTTCTATTCTGGTCGACTATCAGCATGGGGTTGTTCTATCTCGCGTACCGTTACAATGTACTGTATGTTGCAGATACCACTGTCGACACCGATGGTTTGATCTATCCTCGGGCTCTGAAACAGCTTTTATTTGGCGTTTACGTAGCCGAGATGTGCCTCGTTGGAATGTTCATCGTTTCCAAAGCCGCAGGACCTGCTTTTCTGATGATAATATTTCTTTCTCTTACCATCTTTTCTCACCTCTCACTCGTCAAGGCTCTCGATCCTCATCTTTACAATCTTCCTCTTTCTCGTCAACTCGAAGAAGATCGAACTGATCGACGCCAGCAAGGAAAGTCAAATGACGGACAAGTACAGAATGGCGCCAATGCCCTTTCCAGAGGTGCGAGCAGGAGGAATACCGCTCGGAAGCTCGTGCCTATCGCTACTAGCCGGGACAGCAATAAAGCTGACTTTGTCTCTGAGTGGCTCAAGTCCCGGATCYTCGTCGATTACCTGGCCGTGGAGCAGTTAGTGTATCACGAGGACCTCATAGAACCAGAGTACGAGGCGCAGGGTTATTATCCGCCTTCCGTCACAAGTCAGGCTCCATTCCTATAGATTCCTGTGGACGATCCAGGTATCCCGAACGAAAAGATGGTGGACACTCGAAACATAGTTCCTATTTCGAACAAGGGCTGTTACCTGAGTAGGAAGAATAGTGTACAGTGGGAAACCGATGGTCCAAGGCCTCTTACCTAGCGCGAGAAGGTTGTGTAGTAGGAAAAAGAGCGCGATAAGTTCAGTCAAGGCAAAATTTATGTCGGTGTCCCAGGCTATGCAACTTTCACGTAGTCGAGATTTAGAATGGATCGATCGAACTTACAACGTGAGAAGAGGGTTGTATTCAAAGTGTAGTGAGAGCCCTAGAACTTAGTTGATTGATGCACCTTTTATGGTTCCCCTCATAGCCCAAGTTAAGTATTACAAGAATCAGGTAATGGGGGAGGGTTTTCGGCCATGAATTGATTTTTCCCGCGCGGCACTTTGCTTGCCTTTTCCTTCTTTTTCTTTTTTGCTTTCCGTTTTGTCCTATCCCTTCTTTGCTGAAAGCGCATCGGTGATGCCCTCTATCTAGGATAAGAAGAGGCAGTATGCGTGCAGCCCCGAGTATCGATAGACCATGTAAGCGCTCTCAGTCCCCATGACCGTAAGCGATCGCAAGGGGCTTCCGACTTTCGCATAAGACTGAGGGCGCGATATGCAACCAGCACCTGAGTTCTGCAAAGACTATGTTTTCCTCTCCCGAACATACTGGAAGCAGTCCATATCTGTAACTTTGAACATCCCTAGTATATTGGCAGCGGCGATTGAGGACCTTACAGAGGGCTCATACTTTAGCTAGAGATAACTTGTAAAGGCATGTACATTCGAGAAGGAGCTCCTTAACCTTCTCGTTTACCTAATATCACAGTTAGGTATAACTGATTGGATGCTCATGTCGAGGAACACTGGAGTCTACACTGAATCGGTTCATCCAGTGATCTAGGTTTACAGTCTAAGGGAGGTTTCATTCGTGATCGATAACGATTTACACCTTCGCTCATTGGCTGTAACCACATTATCCTCATTAAAAGTCCAATCGCAAATATCAAGCGCATGAGTGGGAGTACTTAGCATTATATGTATTTAATTCCGCCAATTGAACCGGCTACTCCGCCCATTAGCTATCGCCTATAATTGTGCGATCGATCTGCCTGGTTCGCTGGCTCCTTGCTACCAAATGTTATTCAAACCAAAACGTACGTACCTCATGCCAAGGACAGCAGACAACCTACCCCGCTTGGTCGGCCTCCTGCGTCAATGTCTCACGACCACCCACCCGATCAGATATGCAGCAACAAGCGAATGACCCACTTTTGCTCAACGGAGTCTTGAGGCCAATGTGCAAGTAAGTGAAGAATGGAATGTTATACACATTCTACCAAAATTTAGTATGTCTTCTGCCTTCCAACCTCTTGTGCTACATCGAAACTCTCTTCCATGCCATGTAACGTGCCTTTCCACTCATACCTTCTACCATCATGAAATCAAATTCCTCCTTTGCGTCTTCTGTTAGGCTCGCGCATTAGTCTGGAAAGCTATTTTTCAACGATGTTATGCTGTTCTTTTATCTCCACCCCCGGGAATTGTGGGAAGCGAGAAAATTGAAACTTTTTTACGACCCTTCTGGCATCATCAAAATGGACGATATTGAACCTATCCAGTAGGACAACGGTCCTTACTACTCACCTGTTACATATATGGTTGTAGGCCCTAACACAAGCAAGAGCATACGAAAACTTGATGACGCTGGGATCATAGTGGCCGGTTGGCGAGTAATCAGGCGGGAGGTATTTGAGAAAACGCTTAGTTGGCGGGCTTTGCACAGTTGCATCGGCCCGTTGATATTCATTGGTCATATTCACATCGACAGCATTCGTGAATAACGTCATGAGAGTTGCGTCAGGATTGATAAAGCAATGGCGGCATTAGGCCGATTGTGCGATGGGCAACGAGGATACCCACTCTCAGAGATATTAAAGACCTTTTGAGAGCCAATATCCAAGTTGAATGGAGCTAGCATAAGTTTAGTTCACGGCGGAGATTTGCCTCTATGAGATCAAAAGATTCATTCCCAAAATGAGCAGGTGAATCGGATGCGTCAAATGGAAATAGTTGGAACGTCATTACCATGTTAGTTAGAGATTTCATAAATGCCTTCAGCAGAGCTTTCCGTAAATATTAGAGGTTACAAGTCCAGTTGGAGTTGTCTCGACCTCATTCGCAGACAAAACGTTCAGAGGATCAGCATTGTCGTGGATGGGCCGGGTATCATCGTCTTATAAATGTTCTATCTTTGTAAGTTTCTTGATACCTGATGAAATTTCTATAAGCTACGAATAAGGATGTTGGAATTCTCTACGTGGATCCCCAAATGGCAGCGGAAGGCCATCTTGTCCGAAGCGATGTCTCGTGACACGATGAAAAGATAAGAAGAAGAAAAACTGATGATCGCGGTTGCCAACTCGGGACTCAGCGAGGGTGACAACTGTTCGAACCTAGATGCTCGAAGAATTGGAATGAAATTAGTTCTAATCCTCAGTCGGGCCCAGGATACTTAAATCYCGAAAAGAGTGAATGGTTGAGAAAGCACAGAATAGCAGAAGTCACATTATCGCCAAGCTGTGTAACCGGCCGTGTTTGCATGCGGCCGACCATGGCCGTGTTGGGGTAGGTTGCCTT